ACTGCTGTGGCAGGCCTTCTGACTACTTTTGTTTCCCCAGTTCCTCTCAGTCCCCACAGAATGGTGTTTGTAAAACATGTTCTAGACCATATTACTTTCCATCTATAAACCACTTGGTGGCTACCCTTAGAATAAAACCCACAATCCTTACTGTGGTCTCTACAGCCACCTATATAACCCTACCTGACTACCTCAGCTGTACCTCCTGTCCTTCTCCCTGTTCTGCCACTCTACCCACACAGGTCTTCTTACTTTTTCTTAAACATGTGGGCTCCTTTCCATCTCATGACCTTTGCACTTGTTGTGTTACTTTGACTAGAATAACCCCCACCAGAGACCTCATCGTACTTACTTAGACCTTCCCAGGCTACCTAATCTAAAAGTTTTCCTCTCATTCCTCTGTTCTATTAGCCTCTAATCCTACCTTTGCTTATTTTTCTTCATAGTACTTCTCTCCACTGAAATCATAATGTATACTTTGTTTACTGTTTATCATCTTTCCCTCGCCAATAGGACCTTTGTCTTACTGACATAGTACGAACACAGGAGGCACTTGTTGAATGGATGGATAATGGGTTTAAAGGCTCTGGGTAACCTGGATTCAAGTCCCATTTCCACCACTTGCTTGCCTCTGTTCTCTGGAAAGTTACTCAGTTTCTTTAAGCCTTTTTCTTTCTCTTTAACATGAGGCTAGTTATAGTACTATCTTTATAAGATTATTGAGAAGATTGGAATAATTCATGTTAAACATTAGGAATAGTTCCTGGCAGAAATAAACTTAAAAACAAGGGGTGGTTAGGAAAGAACATTCTAGAAGAGGGAATACCCAGTGCTGTGCCTTTATAAATATGGGGCACATTTTGAACGAATTACAACTGTTTATAAGCATAAATAGCTACTGGAAAAAAAATATTTTGTGTGTGTACTTTCCATAATTATCCTAGTTTTTAACTACAAAATGAACAGAACAATAGTATCTGAATCTATTTATTTATTTATTTGTCATAGGAGATGATGATATACAGTGTCCTTGTTGGAAGCTCATAAGTAGCCTGATTGGGGAGGGGACCGATTTAGGAAATTGTGTTGATATTTTGACTACCAATTGCTGGTCAAAAAAGTTTTTAAGTTCATGGAGTTATGGGAAATATTTTTTTTTCTATTAGAAAATATAGTTTATTTAAAAGTAAATTAGAGAGAAAGAGAAGATTCACCTCCTCAAAGTGGGGGAGGGGGCCAAAGCCAGGAAACATGGTGACAGCCATTAGCTCAAAGAGCACATGGCCACACCAGAGTCTAGCAGGGCAATGGCCTAGGAAATCTTTTTTATGTCAGATTTACTGTCACTAAAGCTCAACTCGATAGAACCGTTAGGAAAGGTCATTTTCATACTTTCACTCTCAGTCTAAGGATTTTGTGTTCATTGATAGTTTGATCAGCTTATAAACTTATTCTTGAAGAAATTCCTCAAGATAAAATATTAACATTTTTTCCTCCTGATGATTGTTAGACAAACCAGCAGCCTTTCTCTTTTTGCTGAAAGAATTCCATATAATACATAGTTTTCTTAGGAGGAAAAACTTTCCACTCCCCAACTTTTTATTTTAAGACACATCATGCCTACAGAGAAGCTGAAAAAATTACCACAATAAACCTTTGTATATCCATATTTATATAATTTTTCCTGAATCATTTGAAAGGTGCAGATACCATGATAGCTGACCCCAGATGTTTCCATGTTCATCTCCTAAAATCAAGGATAGTATCTTTTTTTTTTTTTTGAGTTGGAGTCTCACTCTGTCGCCCAGCTGGAACTACAGGCGCACGCTACCACGCCCGGCTGACTTTTTGATTTATTGTAGAGATGAGGTCTTGCCAAGTAGCCCAGGCAGGTCTCGAAATCCACGGGCTCAGGCAATCCACTCACCTCAGCTTCCCAAGGCACGGGATTACAGGCTGAGCCACCGAGCCCGGCCAAGGATAATATCTTAATATTACTATCATATCCAAGAATTGTAATACTGATTCATTATCATGTATAGTCCATTTTCAAATTTCCCTAATTATTTCAAACATATAAATGTTAGAGGTGTGGAGAGAGGGAGGGAGGGGCGGAGAGAGAGAGAGAATATCTCTGAATCCCTGTGTGTTTTCATCCAAGATCCAGTCAAGGTTATACATTTTATTTGGTTATGATTTTTTAAAATCTTTCATTATGCTAGTATTTTTTAAGAGTTTAACCATATTCTGATTTGTCTGTTGCCTCAAGATTAGATTTAGGGTAAACATCTTTGTTCAGAATGCTATAAAGATGATGTTGTTTACTTTCTATTGCATCACATCAGTAGACATAAAATGTCAATTTGTCTTGTTATCAATAATGTTAAAGTTTAATATATTTGGTTAATGTGATGTTTCCCAGCTCTCTCCAGTGTAAATATATAGTTTCTCTTCTAATTAATAGGTACCTGGAGTAAACTTTGAGTTGTATGAATGTTCTGTTTCCCATCCATCTTTCATTTAATTATCTTAGCATTTATTAAAGATCCTTGTCTGATTCAGTTATTACATCAGGAGTTTCAATACAGTGATTTTCCAGCTGTCATTTCCTCTGCATTTATTAGCTAACTTTTTATTTTTGGATATGCGGTCTCACTATGTCACCCAGGCCTGGGGTGCACAATCAGCTCACTACAATCTTGAACTCATGGACTCAAGTGATCCTCCTGCCTCAGCCTCCCCAGTAGCTAGGACTAGAGGCTAGATGGGGGGCTTGCAATTGGCTAGATTTTTTTTTTTTTTTTTTTTAAGAATAGCTTTCCCTATTTCTCATCTTTCAGTATTACCATGGATTCTTTCTATACTCAATCTTTTTCTCCTGTTTTTCTGATTTATTGGTCTGTATCCTTTAGAAATGGCCCAATGGGCTTTGAGTTCTTCCATTTTTTTTCTAGCATGGGCTCACCTTATACTTTCCTTACTCCAAACCTGCAATCGGCCATTTTTTCAAGGAGCCTGCTTCCTTTTAGTGAACAATTTAGAAACCAAGATCTAAGTCCTAGGTGTGCTTAGAAAATGACCTTTTACAAAACATTGCTTGTCATTTTTGAACATTGCTTGTGTTATCATTTTAGAGGACTGTCACATGTTTTTAAAATCATTCATCTCTTGATCCTTCCTACAGTCCTGTGTGTTAGACAGGTCAACTGCTAAAATCTTCATTTAAAGATGAAGAGAGTGAGGTCTAGAGAGGATTTAGCTTTCTCAGTATTATTTATAGTAAGGACAAGTGCCAAGACCAAAACCCAAGTCTTCTGCCTGCTAGTTTAATTTTTCTCTGTTTCTTTTTCTCCCACCATACATAGTCTCCTAAAAAATGTGTTTAGATATCTAATAAAGTTGTGTCGTTGGCTCTTGGCCTTGGTCTCTGCCAGCCCTGCTAAAGAAAGAATGCTTCCTTTGTGAGACTAACTGATAAATGACCAGATCCGTAGAGAATATTTGCACCCTTCTGAGCTTTGCCATTGGGAACTCCTTTTGTAATGGAGTTTGCTAAGGAGGCTTTCAGCGGTGTTTTGTGATGCGTGGAATGTTTGGCGTGAGACTTGGAAAGCTGTTTGGAAACATTGCATGAGCATACCTAAACTCTCTCTCATGACTGCTTGTAATTGGGTCACTGCTAGGGAACTAAAGGAAGCAAGAAACCCTGACAATAAAATGCTTTGCTTATGCTATGGCTTACTATTTCATTATGTGAAGGTCTGTTTTCTTAGCCTACTTATTTTATTTTCATAAAAACCCAAGCTTTTTTTCATTAACACTCCAAGGAACCTTTTCAAACATTTGTCCATAAATCTCTCCTGCCATGAAATTAAAATATCTCAGATATCCTATATATCTGTGTACTGTACACATATTTGTGCTTTATATATAAAAAGAGTGAGATTTTTTTTTATCCCACAAGGACCATTTCTTGGCCTCTTTTGGGTGATATTGTCCTTATTGAAAATATATGGGGTGGACAGAGAAATGAAGGATAAATCTGATTTGTATTATAATAATCCATTTTATATTATAATAGTTTATTTTAAATAAAGTGTCTATTTTGAGTAACTAAATGCAATTTGTAAATTATTTTAATCCTAGTAGCACTGTGAACTTTGGTTACCTGAAGGCTAAACTCATTCTGCTGAGTAATTTTTCACTTATATGGAATTTCAAAGTCTACAATCCTAATTTTTCCCCCCTTCTAAACAGATAATTGGGACTTTTTGACGATACTGGTGAATTTAATCTTTTTCAATATTGTTTTTCTCTGGCATTCCTTGATGAGTAAGATACCACTTAAATATATTTTATCATTTAAGATGTATGTGCAAACCGGGCTCAGTGGCTCAGCCTGTAATCCCACGCCTTGGGAGGCTGAGGTGAGTGGATTGCCCGCGGGTTCAAGACCTGCCTGGGTAACTTGGTGAGACCTCATCTCTACAATAAATTAAAAAAAAAATTAGCTGGGTGTGGTAGTACGCAGCTGTAGTTTCAGCTACTTGGAAGGCTGAGGCAGAAGGATCGCCAGAGCCCAGTAGGTCGAGGCTGCAGTGGCTGGGAGTGTGCCATTGCACTCCAGTCTGAGCGACGGAGTGAGACTCCAACTCAAAAAAAAAAAAAAAAAAAGATATACGTGCATTTTTCCTCTCTACATTCCCCCTTTCTCCTAACACAACTCCAAATAAAGAACTCTTGAGTCTTGGAGGGTGTGGAAACAGACTGTAGTGAATTTTTTTTCTTTTTAGCGTTTACCCATTACATATTATCTTGTGTGTTTGTGAATTTTTTCCTAAGCATGTCTCTGTATGTCTTTTCATTATTTTTTCCTGCCTTTGTCTCTCTTTTCTTTGTCCTTTGCTTTCTCTGCTTCCCCCAATATTCCTTTCATTTCTCTTTTCCTTCCTTCTTATTTCTTCTCTCTCCTACATGTTATCTCCTTTCTTTTCATTCAGGACTATGAGAGTAAATTGCAGGCCTTGCAGAAGCAGGTTGAAACCCGATCCTTAGCTGCAGAAACGACTGAAGAGGAAGAAGAGGAGGAAGAAGGTGAAATCTAGAGAACAAAACTTTTCTGTGTATATCTTTTCAGTCTGTGATATCAAATTAGCCCTTGGTCTATGATCAATGTTAGGTTTCTTATAGTTGGCCCTGCCATTTAGGGACATTTTACTGAGTTAATATAAAGATGATTTAAACAACACTCAATGCTGAGAATCCAGGCTGTACTTTATGAGGTTGTGGTAAGGCTGCTAGTGTTCCTTAGAACTTTACAAGGTTTCTGAGCCAGTCTTTATATACATCTTTTAGGAAGCTCACATATATTGGGCATGTGAAGTTAATATGTCTGTTGCAGGTAAATACAGAGCTTAAGGTTTGCTAAGATAGTCTGATAAATTTGCTAGTTTATGTCAGAGATTTCCCAGTGAAGACTTTGGAATGTATCAGTGTACTTTAAAGCCGTTTCTGGCAGATTTCTAATAACATTGCTTAGTCATGCTTGCCCATCTTAAGTTTTCTAATTGAATTAGGACTTTCATTGTTAGTTATTGCCTTGTAATACAGTATAAATATTCATCACACTTCATTTTTCCACCCAATCTTTTGGTAATCTCAAGCCTTCAGATTACTTTAAAGGAACTCTTAATTTATATACCAAATTCTTTATTTTTAAATATCTAAGTGAAATGGGATGTTCCCCGACCCCCCCCCCATACTAGAAAGAAAACAAAATGAAATATATGAAGTACAGCATACCAGGGGGTAGGGATATTTTTAAAATTATGGCCTTATTTTTATATTTAAAAAAGGAAGAGAAATCTATCTCTTGGCTTACTGTTTTAAATAAATGCAGAAGTAGGATTTTTACAGATTTTATGAAATGTATATATTGCTTTCACAACAGAATTTAGTAGGTTTTACTAAAAAGAAAAACAAAAGCAACTGAATAGCAAGAAACAAGTTGGAAATGCCTTACCTTGATACAAGAGAGAAGGCAGAGGAGATTTGTCATTTCTGCATCACTGTGAGATTGCCATTACATGTGCTTCCTTTGCTCTTTTAGTTCCTTGGACACAGCATGAATTTGAGTTGGCCCAATGGGCCTTCCGAAAATGGAAGTCTCACCAGTTTACTTCGCTAAGGGACTTACTCTGGGGCAATGCCGTGTACCTAAAGGAGGCCAATGCCATCAGTGTGGAACTGAAAAAGAAGGTATGGAAGGGGTGAGAACACAGGTGATCTGGAGGCAAAACTGAGCCTGCTGTGGGTTCATCTGGGCTCTCACCTTGAACTAACCCTTTCCTTGGGGGAACTTAGATTTAGGTATGCCTTTATTTAATATGTGTGTCTGGAATATAGTAAGTACTAATTAAATAAAACATTTTTAAAACAGATGTTTCCTAGCTTATTTTACAAAGAAGGAGACTATTTCTGATGAGCTGGAGAAACATAGTAGTAGAAAATGCTTTTTTGGGTTTCTGAAAAATCTCAGTTTTCTTTTAGTTTTCTGTCATTAAGTTTGCAACTATAAGTCCCGTGTGTCCCTTTGCCACTGATATGCTCCTCTTCTGGGGTGGACAGGAGTGTGTGCTCAAGGCCTCTTGTGTAGTGGACAAGAGTGTGTGCTCTGTACCTAGGCAATCCAGGTTCCAGCCCCCACTCCACAAGTTGTGCTGACTCTAAGAGCCCCATGCCTCCATTCTCCATCCACAAAATAGGGTTGGAAACAGTACCTGGCATCAATGGATTTTGCAAGAAAATGTGACTGTGCCTAAAGCATTTAAGATATGCCTGGGCATGGTAAAAGGCTATCAGTGTTGCCTGTTTTTGTATTGTTACCAAAACTTCACACCAAGCCTTAGATTCCATCTTCTGTGTGCTCTGCTGTTTAACAGTTTTTTGACTGCTGAGATTATAGCTAGAGTCCATCTCATGTACTAAGTAAGAGCCAAACTGCCTGACTTCGGAGAAATTCATTATCCTGTCTTAGTACTTAAACTGGGGATATGATGTTGTCCTTACTCATGATCTAGCAGCCCTTTTCATCTTCTAATTACTTATTAGCTACTCCCTTCCTCAAGCAGACTAAGTAAAGACAGTAACTGGTTTTTTTTCCTTACTCCTGTGCCTACCATTTTAATTTTTTTTTTTTTTTTTTGAGTTGGAGTCCCACTCTGTCACCTGGGCTAGAGTGCAGAGGCACGCTCATGGCTATCCCAGCGTCAATCTGCTGGGCTCCGGCGATCCTTCCACCTCAGCCTTCCAAGTAGCCAGAATTACAGGCGCATGCTACCATGCCCAGCTAATTTTTTGATTTATTGTAGAGACAAGGTCTTGCCAAGTTGCCCAGGCTGGTCTTAAACCTGTGAACTCAGGCAATTCTCTCGCCTCGGCCTCCCAAAGTGCTGGGATTACAGGCTGAGCCCCCAAGCCCGGCCTTAATTAATATTTATTGGTGAAAATATAAGGTGGTAGTGAGAAAAAAATGACGTGATGTTGCAAAGCATTGCTATGTAATAAACATTGCCATGTAATAAACACTTAATTTTAATTATATTACTTTCCTGTCGCTCCTTATGGCTTTTCATAATAAATACTTTTAAGAATAGTAGTCATAATCCTCCAAACTTAAAATGGAAAATTTTGATGGGTTACTATGCTTTCTCATTAGTACATTTTGGGGTCCACTTTTTGGTCTCTTGTATAAGTTCTATAAAAGTCTTCATTTAGTCAACCAAAATATGTTTATTGAGATATTAATTTGTGCAATAACACTTTGGCAAGCTAGGAAAACAAAGTCTGTGAATGACTTACTTTGAAATTAGGATTATTCCCTGTGATTAATATATAGATGGCCATTCTCAGTCATAAGTACATGTGACATGTTTGACCCCTACCCCTTCCCTACTGGGCATGATTATATCGCCTCATCTCAGAAATTTACTTGCTGAAAACCACTTGTTGATGGTTTATTCCATCCATTCAGGTGCAGTTTCAGTTTGTTCTGCTGACAGACACGCTGTACTCCCCTTTGCCTCCTGAATTACTTCCCACTGAGATGGAAAAAACTCATGAGGACCGGCCTTTCCCTCGTACAGTGGTGGCAGTAGAAGTCCAGGATCTGAAGAACGGAGCAACACATTACTGGTCTTTGGAGAAACTCAAGTATGAAAGCATTCATAAAAGCCGATTGTTTTATTTAGGAAATAACAATGACTTGTTCAAGTGGGCTCCCTCAAACTCCTCCTCTCTCTGAGGACACTGTTGTTTTCTTTTCTGTGCTTTCTAAATGCCGTTGCTGGCCAGTGATATTACCATCCGTTTTCCTTTAAGTGAATAAATCCTACTTCTCACATACCTTTGACATTTGTAGATATTTAAATTAACCCTCCATAGACCTTCTTTTAAAATTTAAATATCCCAATTTCACGATACTTATTTCTGTTTTGGATCTAGAAATTATTTATCCTCTCTGTCCTGAATCTTATGATGACCAATAATAAATAGGGAAGTTATGGTCTAGCTTCCTTTACATTTGATATAATGAGCTATTTTCCACTGTCTTGTGTACTTGAGATGTCACACCATTGAACTACAGTTCTCCTATGACTCTTCACTCAGTAGAGGATAGGTGACCATTCTTTTCTTTCTTTCTTTCTTTCTTTTTTTTTTTTTTTTTTTTTTTTTTTTTGAGTTCAGGTCTTACTCTGCTGCCCTACCTGAAGTGCAGTGGCATGATCCTGGTTCTCTGCAGCCTCAAGCTCCTGGGCTCAAGCAGTCCTCCCTCCTCAGCCTCCTGAGTAACTGGAACTGCAGGCACATGCCACCATGCCCAGATAATTGTTTTATTTTTTGTAGAGATGAAGTCTCACTCTGTTGCCCAGGTTGATCTTGAACTCCTGGTCTCAAGTCGTCCTCCCGCCTCGGCCTCCTCAAAATGCTGAGATTGCAGGCATGAGCCACTATGCCCACTATGGCCATTCTTGATTTCTGATGGTTTGTCTTTAGATACTTTAGATACTGAGTGTTTGAGAGTCTGTGCCATTGGCCTTCATTCTTTCTGAATAACATTAAATAGTGGGAGCAGTGCCTTTTTAAAGAAAATTGTGCATGGAAGGTGTGTCCAAAAGTGAAAGTTTAATACAGTCCCATAATACTAACCCAGTGTGCTTATGTTTACTAAATAGGCAGAGGCTGGACTTGATGCGAGAGATGTATGACAGGGCAGGGGAGATGGCCTCCGCTTCCCAAGATGAAAGTGAGGCCACTGTGACTGGCAGTGATCCATTCTATGATCGGTTCCACTGGTTCAAACTTGTTGGGAGGTATGTGATCATTTTGCTGATGTCTTCTTTTCAAATAATGAATCGTTTTATTTTAATTTGAAACCTTAGCACTTTTTATAACAAGTTAAAAGGAAAAAAAAAACATAAAAAGGCCCTGTTCCTAATCTTATCCACTCACATAACCACTGTGTCATTTGATGTAGGTAATCCCCTTCTGTTGTATTCAACAGGCATGTTTGTTTTGAGTCTCAAATATTCAGCCAAAGTATTTGACAGTCTTCTTTGGCTTTCAGCTTATAAAATGTCTTGCAATTGATTAAGATAGATTTAAAAGAAAAAGAAAACCTGTGTCTGTGTCCTGCACAGTTTAAAATTATAGTATGTAATCTGTCACAGGAGTAAAGAACAACAAAAAAATTTTAAAGTTTTTAAATTTAAAAATTGTAATATGGTTTATCAGACTGCAAGCTTTTCATGATCTGGTTTGTCTTCCTTTTTTTTGAAAGCAATTCATCCCACTTTAGTCATAGGCAAGGGTGAATTGCAGATTTTTGCAGTCCCCTTGAGCCTCATTTGTGTAAACATTATTTCCAACATTTAATGAAAACAAAGAGTGCCTCTGTGAGTCCATCCTGAGTCGAGTTCTTAAAGGGAAAGCCTTATTTTTTCACCTTAATGTTGCATTGCTCCTTTGAGGCCTGGAGGCTGATCTGGAGAATATAAACATTGTATAGCACAATATTTACCTGCGATGGTCTACTCATGTGTTTCCTTTGCTTTTCTTATTCTAAGGATCAGTTCTTGCATAACTTTTTCAACCTACCCTTGTTCCCTTTCATCTGACCCAGATGATTTTTGCTTATTTTATCCTTTTGCTTTTTCATTTGCTTTTATCGTGTTGATTCCCCCTGGATTCTGTCCTGTTGGCACCTATAGCTTCCTGTTTAACCAACTATTCCTCTCTCCCTGGCTGTGTTGATCGGCATCTTACCTGGTGTCTAGCTCCCCCATTTTCCACGGCTGTGTGAATGAGCGCCTTGCTGACCGCACACCTTCCCCCACTTTTTCCACGGCTGATTCCGACATCACTGAGCTGGCTGACGAGCAGCAGGATGAGATGGAGGATTTTGATGATGAGGCATTCGTGGATGACGCCGGCTCTGACGCAGGGACGGAGGAGGGATCAGATCTCTTCAGTGACGGGCATGACCCGTTTTACGACCGATCCCCTTGGTTCATTTTAGTGGGAAGGTTGGTGAGGTTATTGTGAGAAAGGCAAAAAGGGACCAGCTCTTGCTCTAAAGGCCTTCTTGTGCAATTGTGGAGAATGTGGCTTTAGCCAGCTTAATTCATAACGTTCCATTCCAAGTTCTCCAGTACTTTCAAACTCTTGATGAGTGCTAATCTTGCTAGAAAGCGATCTCAGGTATTGTTTGTGAGGTACTTGGTCTACTCAGCATGAAATACAGCAATGTACAAAGACTACATAGAGGGTGCCTTGTCATACATTTCCCAGTAATTTTGGTCTGAGGAAGGAAACACCAAAGGAAAAAGTAATTAAAGCTAAGAGTCAAGTGTAATGGGTTCAACGCATGGTATTGTGGTCTAAATGTTTCTGTTTTAAGGTAATGTGATTGAGGAAGCATATGGGACTAACATGAGAAAGGGAACAGGGCAAGTCCAAGATTTGTCTGAAGAACCAAGGTTTAGTACTGTAGGAGTCAGAGGGCAAAGGAGGACGCGGGAGTTAGGACAGGAGTGGACTCAGGAGTAGTGTTAGGTTTATTTTTTGCTTAGTGTACTGAGTTCCAAAAAGTATCAGAAGATCAGGGTTTTCCTTTGTCCACCTAAAATGGATGCCTTTCTCTGGCCAGTTTTACTGTGCCTATCTCTGTATTGTTGTTGTTGTTGTTGTTTTGGTTTTTGGTTTTTGGGTTTTTTTGAGTTGGAGTCTCACTCCATCGCCCAGGCTGGAGTGCAGTGGCACAGTCACAGCCACCCCAGCATCGACCTGCTGGGCTCTGGCGATCCTTCCGCCTCTGCCTTTCAAGTAGCCAGAACTAAAGGCATGGTACCACGACCAGCTAATTTTTTTAAATTTTGTTATTTTGAGAAAGCAGGATTTATTAAGAGACCAGAAAACTCCCACAGTGGGAGGGGACCCAAAGGGGTTGCCCTGGTTTTTTTATTTATTGTAGAGACAAGGTCTTGCCAAGTTGCCCAGGCTGGTCTCGAACCCACGGGCTCAGCAGTCCACTCTCCACGGCCTCCCAAAGTGCTGGGATTACAGGCTGAGCCGCCGAGCCTGGCCTTGTGCCTGTCTCTATAGATCTTTGGCGTCTGCTAACATTTTATTTTATTTATTTATTTTGAGTCAAATTCTCGTTGCACTTGCCCAGGCTGGAATGCAGTGACATGATCATGACCACCATAGCCTCGACCTGCTGGACTCAGGTGATTCTCCCGCCTCAGCCTTCCAAATAGCTGGAACCACAGACACACACCACCACACCCAGCTAATTTTTTTATTTATTGTAGAGATGAGGTCTCACCATGTTGCCTAGTCTGGTCTCAAACACCTAGGCTCAGACAATCCTCTCACCTCTGCCTCCCAAAGTGCTGGGTTACAGGTGTGAGCCACTGCACCCAGTCTAAAATTTTACATACAGACTTTATAATGATGAATCTCAGAAAACCATGTGTTGGCACCATCAACAGTGAATATTTGTTCAGTTCTACATGAAACTGCTTTGTGTTAAGATTAGTTCACCAAACTGAGGCATTGTCTCTGGCTCTCAGTTTGTGCATTCATCTGTCAGTGATGCAAAATTCTCCATGCACATGTTCTTAATACTGGCGTCTTTGTCTATGTCCAGTCTTCATATGGAGGTAATTTTAATTACAAGTTCAACAGGAGAAGAGTCATTGGGTTAACCAAACAGTATGTCCAGGTACTAAATTTAATCTTAATGGCACATTAGAACCACATATATTTGAACCCTTTTAAAATAAGGGAGTCATGTCAGTGTTAAATAGATAAGTACTAGTTATCTAAAAAATTAAGATACAGCAGGGCTGGGCATGGTGGCCCATTCCTATAATCCTGGCACTTCGAGGGACAGAGGCAGAGGATCACTTTGCAGCCATCCTAGGCAACATAGCAAGACCACGATCTGCACAAAAAATTGTTAAAACTTAGCTGGGCATGATGGTGCATGCCTGTTAGTCCCAGCTGTTCAGGAGCCTGAGGTGGGAGGATCACTTGAGCCTCAAAATCCCAGGATTTTGAGGTTACAGTGAGCTATAATCACACCACTGCACTCCAGCCTGGGCAACAGAGTGTGAACAGTCTCTAAAATAAAAATAAATGAAGTACAGTGAGTCTCCTGACCCAGTAGAGACACACCTTGCTGAGCTCAGTGTCTCACGCATGCATGTAGTCCCAGTTACTTGGGTGGCTAAGTTGGGAGGATTGCTTGAGCCTAGAAGTTTAGGGCTGTAGTGAGCCATGATCGCACCATTACACTCTAGCCTGGATTACAGAGCAAGACCCCAACTCTAAAAAACAAAAAAAAAAGATTAAAAAAATGAAATTTACCTCATAGTATGATGTTGGTCATCTGGTCGGAACTTCATAACTAAGTAGTAGATGATCACTGTTATGGGAAGAGGAAAAAGGAAAGCTTTTTTGATAGAAATTAAAACCTCAGATACAACTATGGGTCAAAATACTAGACAGTCTCTGGGTTTTACAATGGTGAAGAGTTATTAAGAATTCAGTTTTCCATGAATAAGTATAAAAGAGTTTATAACCATGAATATTGTTTTCTATTGGTGTGTCACCATGAATAGATTAGCATTTCAGAGAAACTGATTTATGTTAAAATTGACAAAGGTTGTTCCAAATTACAAATATGGGACAGTAATGCTTTCTTTAATTTGTAGCTATCTGTGTCCTTCAGGACGTTTCCATCCTATTCTAAGAGGGTTGGAAGTTAGAACACAGTTTTTGGTTATAAACTTGATCCCAGCATTGGTTGCACAGCTTCTAAAACCATCTACTGGTGTTTTACTGGTGTGTTGCTGGTAAAAAACACTATGCTGTGTCATCATTGCACAGTGAAGAGTAGGCAGCTTCATCTTACATAGCATTGTGAAGTGAACCCTGACCCGATTCTCAAAAGAAGCCTTGGGTCCTGAGCCATGTCTCTGTCACTAACTTAGGACAAGCAGCTTGAGGCTTGTTGGGTTCTCAAGTGTAAAATGAAGAGTTAGGTAGAAAAAAGAGCCTTAAAGATCTTTTTCATCTTTCATATTCTGTCATCTACACTAGCAAAATGAATGTCCTGTTTAAGACTTCTCAGAAGGATTTGTATTTCGAGTCAGTTGCATGAAACATAAGTCAGAATCCCACTTAATGTGGAAATTAACTTACTAAAGATATATGTATTATTTTCTCTCTAGTTTTATTTGTTTTAATCAGATGTAAGTATAGATATAAAACAATCAACCCACTTTGATTTTCACATAAAATCTTTATGGAGCTATGGCTCAACAATTGACCTTTCCGCTGACTTAGGTTCTCAGGCTCTAGAATTAGCTTTGCCTTGCAAGAACTGGGGCAAGAGGTGAAATCAATCAGTAAAATGAAGGATAGCTTCTTATTTTTGCCCTTGACTACTTTTCTCCTCTGCAACCAAAATTTATAATAATGCTACATCATCCAGTGTGTAGTGCTCATTGTATGTGTAAGAGAAGTAACTTCTTTCCTATTTTTGTGATCCACAGAATTGGATTTCCCCTATTGGCACATATAATTCACTTGTAAAAATTTCCATTTTCTTGTGAAATTCCATTTGTAGGTTTGTTTCTTGGCCATGGCCTCTGGTGAACCTTTATATAAAGGTTAAAAGAGCTTGTCCCTTTAGCTGTTCTCTTGTGGCATGCTGGGAAGTTATGAACCATTCATCATAATTAGGATGAAATGTAAAATAGTTAAGATAGTCTTATGGGTTGAAAGGGGGCAGAAGATGGTTATTCTGTGACCTAAGTACCTTAACTGACATTCTTTCTGTCACCATAATCAACACTAATTTTTCTTATCTTTATGTAGACAAATATGTTTCCCTTTTTGATGTAACTTCACAGAACTATCTGCTAATACATCCTTTACATATTCCCCTCTTTCATCTCTGTTCTCCTTCAGTCTGCTAGGTCAAAATATAAGGACAGAGCAATTATGAAAACTCCATTTTTAAAAACTTCAGAGTAGAACTTTTATACGGCATTGATGATTTTGGACTAAGGGCTGTATTCTGATGACATGACAAGGAACTGTCTAGTGAGTGTGCAGTTGTGTAGTCACAGAGCTGATACCCCTACTCCTGCCATAGAATTGTAGAAGTCTCTTTATTGCCTTCAGTGCTTCCATACTTAGAATGGCCATTGCCATAGGCGAGAAGGCAATTTCATCTTCAGGGTGGGCTCAAACAGTACTGTATTATATTGTGTGCATGAATATGATAAACTTTCTTAAAAAAAAAAAAAGGGCTCCTGTTTTTATTTTATTTATCTATTTTTTGAGTTGGAGTCTCACTGCATAGTCCAGGCTGGAGTGCAGTGGTATGCTCCTGGCCACCGCAGCCTCTATCTGCTGGGCTCCGGCAATCCTTCCGCCCCAGGCTTCCAAGTAGCCGGAACTACAGGCACACGCTACCACGCACGACTATTTTTTTATTTATTATAGAGACGAGGTCTTGCCAAGTTGCCTGGGTGGGTCTCGAACCCGCGGGTTCAAGCAGTCCACTAAACTCGGCCTCCCAAAGTGCAGGGATTATAGGCTGAGCCACCGAGCCCAGCCAGGGCTCCTGTTTTTAAATAGATTTTTTTTTTTGAGTTGGAGTCTCACTTTGTCACCCAGGCTGGAGTGCAGTGTCCACTCCCAGCCACTGCAGCCTCGACCTGCTGGGCTCCGGTGATCCTTCCGCCTCAGCCTTCCAAGTAGCTGAAAACTACAGGCATGCCCTACCACCCCCATTTAATTTTTTGTTTATTGTGGAAATGAGGTCTCACCAAGTTGCCTGGGCAGGTCTCAAACCCGCGGGCTCAGGCAAATCCACTCACCTCAGCCTCCCAAAGTGCTGGGATTACAGGCTGAGCCACCGAGCCTGGCCTTAAATAGCTATTTTTAAGATAAATTGGATATACTTAGGAATCTTAATGTATTCTATATAGATAGTATCATAAACATGGCTCTGAAAAATCAATCCAGTATAAGTTGGATGGCTTTGTTACTCTGCATCTGGTATAACCAGTTTTTCTGGAAAATCTTCCACTTCTATTTAAAGACAGAGGACAAATCCTTTTCCTGTTCTCTTAATGTACATAAATGTTCATACACCACAAATTTAAGTGCTGCAGACAGTGGTGAGCAAAACCAGACATGGTTCCTGCCTTTACAGATTTATAGTCTGGTGGGTGACACAGACATAAATTAAATATTCACATAGATAAATGTAAATTATAGCAATGATAAAAGAATTGTGTGTGTTGCTGAGATCATATAACATTGGGAGGACCTGTCATGAAAGAGTGGTGTTTGAAATAAGACCTGAAGATGTGAAATCAAAGGCATGAAGTGGGCAGTGAGTGCAGGGAAGACTCCAGGCAAGGGACATATGCAGTGACTTTTTCTTGGCCTAGACATGGAAAATGTGCACGTCTGACCGGAAGGAGAGTGGTCTGTGTGTGTTCTGACTTTTGGAAGTGAAATTATCCAGTTGATACTTCATGCCTAATTCTTAGTCTTTTAAATTCTGTTGGCAGTAGTTGGTGTTTGATGGCCTTGTTTATAGTCCTTTTTAAAAGACCTTTTTTAAATTTGTGAACACCAAAGCTTTAACCCTTCATTTCTTAGCATTGCTTCCTCTCCGCTTTGGAGCAGACTGAAAGGGAAATAGACATCATCATTTGATCTGATTGAATGTTTAGTTGCGGTTGTTTTTGTTATACTTTTCATTCATATTTCATTTATGTCCTTAAATTCTTATTAACATTTGTTTTTCTGTGATGTATTTTGTTTATTTTCAGAATTTTCATTACTTTGAGTTGAAATCCCAAATATTCACTCCATCCTCCTCCTCCCTTTGTTTTAAAGTAGATTTCAGAGCAGGAAAAGCAGCAGACGGGCATGTGTCATGTTTAGTTTTGTTGGATCTCTTGATGCAGGTCTGCTCTTTGTCTTTTGTCTTACGTTCAAAGATCAGCATATACCAAATGAGAAGACAGGAGTAACAGTAGGAACTGGATTCTATTTCCCTTCCACAATTACACTGAGCACTCTTAAGCTTTGTGATCACCGGTTTTTATTGCTTTTAAAAAAATATGAAGCCGGGCTCGGTGGCTCAGCCTGTAGTCCCGCGCCTTTGGGAGGCTGAGGTGAGTGGATTGCCTGAGCCCACGGGTTCAAGACCCATCCGGGCAGCGAGACGTCATCTCTACAATAAAAATAAAAAAATCAACCGGGCTCGGTGGCTCAGCCTGTAATCCCGCACCTTTGGGAGGCTGAGGTGAGTGGATTG